TTTCACAACTTTCGCGGTAAATGGGTGCCAGGGGCGGGGTAAATTCCGGTCGGGGGGCTAAGGGGTCAGGTTGGCCAGGAATAAGGTGGCACCGTCGTTGGCGTTGGCGCGTGGAGGTAATTGAAGTGACGTTTATGAATGTCATCCGTCAAGCACTCAAGGACATTTACATACAAACACGCACACATGGACAGCTCGGCACACACGCACAGACACACTTGCACACACATGGGGGGAGGTAGGGTAAGCGCGTGGGGCGCTTGGTTGCCTGACAGATGCGAGCTTACACAGATTTTTTTGTGTCTTCGTACCCAGTGCCCCTTTGGAACCAATGGCGTGCTTTTTTGTTGTAAGCTTTGTCAAATCTATGTATGAAACAATTTTAAATTTAACAGGGAATGCATAATAAACGTTAAGAAATAAATGAAATTTAAACAGAGCGTCATATATATTGTGAGTTCCGAGTTATCCCAGAAAAATGCGATGAAATATCCGGGAGTACAGTGCCAAATATTTTCAAAAATTCCTAATATCTTTCGAAAACTTTTACTTCCAGGAACAGGAAATAAAAAAAAATACTAAAGTAGAGTAGTAAATACCAAAAAAAAAACAAGAAAAACCCTCTTAAATTCCTGTTTTGCCTAGAAATGCATTTTTAAAAACTTCATGAGAATCAAGATTGCGATTGGTAAGTTATTAATTTTAAAAATTAAATAGTACTTTTTTTATAATAGCGCCAATGTCAAAAATATTTGGCGTACGACACTAAATATTTTAATTCTTGTATAGTATAATAAAATAAGTCTTAGCTTCAAAGTTATGTTTTTCCAATGTTATGTATCCAAAAATTCCTAAGTTTTACCTAAAAAAAAGAACTGAAATATTAAAACCAAAAATATATTTATGTTTTGATATATCACTTCACCAAGTTCACAAAATATGAGCAAACTCAGTAGGGGGTAACCTTTAGTCGCAGTCCGGAAATAGAGCTTTCCCACTGGTATTTGCTTTTTTCGCGTTTATGTAGACAAACTCACACACTGCGAGAAATCGAAGGGAAGACGGGGAGGGAACGCTCACCGAACCAATACAAACATGAGTTGTCGTCCTGCACGGAAGATGTGAGTGCAGGACCGCCATGGGTTTGATTGTGTGTGTGTGTGTGAGTCGATGTCCCTGCTCCTGTGTGGGTGGGTGTGTTTTCGTGCGGGCCTGTGTGTGTGAGAGACAATTTAAAAATAAATACAAGAAACTAGCACAGAACGTGATGGCGGTGGTTGGGTGGTTGGGTGGCTGTGGGTGGCAAGCGGGTGGCCAGTGGGTGGTGCAGGGCCACCAGCGAGGGCAGAATGATAGATTGAGAGGCAGCCCGCCGTTGAAGTCCGCACTTACTGCTCTGCGGACTGTCCTATCCTAGCAAAAGGACTCTGCGATATGAGGGCCACCGCTTTCCGCCAGAACCGCTTGCTTATATAAATTGACAAAGGTTTACCCAGATCCATATATCATTGTCTTGTTTGTGACGCTGATGAGCCGAGATTTGTTTATGCACATGTCCTTTTATCGCTGAAAAAGTATCTATGCCATCTAGTCTCAGTTCCATGTTTTTTTCCATATCGTACCGTTTATGGCGCGTGAATAGTTCGCTTCTACAAATTGACAGGGGCTTTCCCAAAACCATATATCATTTGGGTTTCGTTAGATAAATTTGGCTAACATATATGTATTTTTAGCCCTTATCTAAACACATGTTTTTGCATACAAAATTTATGTTTTGTTTGTGCCTTTTATCCGTTCTTGTTTATTTAATATACATTTTCTAGTTGAAGCTTAGAAACTATTTAAATGAAACTATACTTCATTATTTTAATTGGTAGCATTTAAGTTGAATTTTATAACCATAAATTTAAAGAACCTATGCCCTTTCAATGAAATTTTCGTCTGAATATCCTTGTTGTTTATATTTAAGTTGAGTCCCTTGCGTTCTGTTGCAACACATCGTTATAAATACTACTTATTTTACTATCTTATATTAATTTGTAGCATTTGAGTTGAATTTTGTAACCTTAACTTTAAGGGACCTATGCCATTTCAATTAAATTTTCTACCGAATTTCCATGTTGTTCTTATTTCAGTAAATCCCTTGCATTCTGTTGCAACACATCATTATGAATTTTATCACGATCTTTTTCACCTCTCTTTTATTTTGTCTTTTCATTGATAAATTCCTGGTACCCTTTTTCATGTGGGTTTTGGTGCCATTCAGTTTCTGATGAAATCCATCGAAACCTTTTCTAGTTGTTCCCTTTTTATGAATTTTGAATTTGCATCACGATCTCAACGGAACTTATCGCCTTGCCCATGCGAAAGGCAATTCAGCTTCTTCTTAGGCCTGCATTCGAGACCTTATACACGAGGATACGCCTATGTCGGGCCATTCTGTAATATGGTATGTGTTGCATATAGCATATATAGTGGCAACCCACTTGGCTTGTCTACTAATTAAAATGCATGCAATAACCTGAAGCCTTTGTTGCCACATTCTAGCTGCTGTTGTTCTTGTTGTTGTCGACGAGGCTGTTGCTGATGTTGCTTTTTTACTGATGTTGCCTCTAATGTTGTTGTTGTTGTCCCTGTGCGTAGAAGGACGCAGCAGCAACGTTAACAATTTGCACAAAGTGCTTAGACATTTGACGGTGGAGGGGGTTGAAAAAAAACTTTTCTTAGGACTACCTTATGTGGCAGAAGGGTATGCGGTGTCTCAACCCTGCGTTGAGAAGACAAATCCCCATTTGGAGGGAAAAAGTATTAGGAAAGCTTTAAGAGGTTGTCGTTGCCTTCTTTCTTTGGGATTTCCAACATCCATCTATTGATAGCCCCCGGTTCATGCCGAAAGCAAGTTACATTTTTAATTGTCTATCAAAGGGGGCTATTTATAAAACAAAAGATTCCGAAATGTCCTTGCCGGCTAATCTCAAGGGACAGGGACATGGCTGGCAACTAAGAAAGACATAGACTAAGGGGGGTCGAAAGGCGGCCAAAGGGTTCACGTTTACCCACAGTGTGTGTACCTACTCTACATATATGTATGCATTTTTAATGAAATTTGCCGACGATTTGCGCTCGAAAGCAATTTGAAAGCCCAAAAACCTCGGCAGCAACAGTTGCAAAAGTTGCAATATCACACACAAACACCCGTGTAGTTGCTGGCTCACGTGTGCGGCTTACGAAAAATTAATGCAAATTTGCATAATAAACAAACACAATAAACGTAGAGGTTGGCAGGACATGCAGGACTAGCCAAAAGTTTCAAACTAGCTGGAGAATTGATTAAGTTGTTGGTGCAACTGTTGTGCTGATTTTGTTGGGTCAATTTGGTAGAAATCTTCACCATTTTGCTTTTTGTAAAATCAAAATAAACACGTGCTATATATTTTATTGTTTTACATGGTGTTTATCAAACTGTGCATCTTCTTTATGGCACTCTTTCAACATTGACCTTCTGCATTTGTTTGCCCCCATATGTATGCAAACAAACAACGTTTCCAACACACACAGATACACCCACACGGCTTAACACCGACATTGACGTCACCTTTGGATGTTCGTGGGTTTGGGTTAAAGTGCCGGCACAGAATTGTAATCAGCTTCGAGCCCAATAAACTGCATGAGTGTAAATTTCCTGAATGTAATCGCCCCCAAATCAAAATAGAGTACTCAGTGGCCTTCGAGGGCTTAGATGGCCCAATCGGGTATTGGGAATGGGGATTTGAGTATCAATACCAAACGGCAGGCAAAGGTCTAAATTGGGCACAGCCCGGGCTCAGCACGGTAAAAATAATTCCAATTAGGACACGAAGGTAAAGCCTCTTTTTTGATTGCCAATGTTTTCGTTGCAGATTTATGAGTTACCGACAGATACTAATCTTCATGCTATTTTTAACTTTAAACATTTATTAAGAGGCCTAGATACTTGATTTGTTATCTCTAAAGCTTGTGAACGTAGGTATATACATTATATGTTCGTAGATTTGGCAATTTTCTATTCGGCCAACAGCATTAAACCTTTAAAGTGAGTACTAAGCCATAGAACTCACTTCAATCTAAATGCCAAACAAATTTTAAATCTCCTAACAATATTTTTACATTGTCTGCTTATGACACTTGTTTGACTTTTAACAACAATGAGAAAAAAGGACTGCAGCATAACAATATTTCCTAAATTATTATATTAAATTTAGGTTATCCTGACTTTTAGAAAAAATCCCGACTGTTTGTAGAAAATCAAGCAAGTGTCAAAGGACCAGTTCATAAAATATTTTGTAGTCAAATTTTTATTGACAATTAACTTAGATTTAATTTGATCGCAAGGTTTTGTATAAAATTCAAATGAATTATACGATTCGTATAAGAACAGAGAGAGATCAATTTATTCATATATATGTATATTTATATATATATTATATTTTTTAGTCTTAGTTTTTTTCAAACTGTCTAAAAACTTTTTTATGTAAGGATGGTACTGAAATTTTAATTTTCATATAATTACCTACACCATTTTTGCAAATTTGTCATTACTACTAGGACTTAAAGTGACTCAAAACTTAGAAACTTAGATAAACACATTGAATTTAATTTTTAAATTGCCCGCCAATATGTGTCCATTGCAACCCTGGCCATGGGAGCTCGCTCTCGTTGTGCAGTGAAAGAAATCATTTTTTAATTAACCAACGCGCCATAAAAGAAGGAGAAAAATAAACTTAAGTCCGTTTTCAAATCTTCTAAACTAACTTTGTTTTAAATATAAATACTATTAATAAAGTTCTTCTTAAATTTACTCAAAAATCAGTTTAGCGGATACTCAAACCGCGGAGGGGTAATGGCGCCACGCGTTCAAAAGCAAGGAGCAGCAAATAAACGAGAAGAACGACGCGAAACTAGTTCGTACGAATCGCTAAAGGCGAACCAGTTCCGCTGGCAAAGTGAGCGCAGCGACCAGGGCTGCATTGCCACCCTCGAGCTGCACAAAGAAAAATAATTTACTCGCCAGCAGCCCATTGGCGTTTTTTCATTTTTTAAAGTGTACTTAAGAGTTGTTAATATTTTTCGCAGTGCTCGGCCCGACCACAACAAACAATAATAGCCGAATAAGTGTGAGTGAAAATGCAGCTAGCTGCAATCGGCGCAAAACAGAGTGGACCAAAGCAGCCAAAATCGAACTCGGAATCAAAATCAGAAACGGGCGAAGCGAAGCCATCATTAGCGAGACATTTGTATTTGTCTGACCCCAGCAGCGGTGTCTGAGAATCGGAATCGTCAAGTCGGAGAGAGAAGAGAACAGCTCACAGCTCCGCAGTCCCACAGTCCCAAGGAAGCGCCACTCGATATGGGTAGGTGTAGTGTACATATGTCTGTACATAGGTGTAGCTATGTGGTCGTGTATCGCCCGATATCGGGGGTTAAGGTGGAGCCCCGTTTCGGGGTACAGCCGATGCAGCCAGCTAGGAGCATTTCTGCGAGATGCGCGCACTTCCAAGTCGCTGTCCTCCTGCCTACCTGCCCCTGCCCCGCCTTCCCCGCCACTCGCCCACCGACTCGGCGAACGCAATGCCACCAGGGCTGCAGCACAGCGTCGCTAATCGAATGTTGTTCTTGTTGTTGGTGGCAAGTACACATCGAGAACCGGAATGGGGGAATATCGAACAAAGGGCCTTAACCGATAGTTGCAGGTTACAAACAAAACTATTCGCTATTTTATCTATTTGAATTAATTCATAAAACTGTAGAAATATAAACAACGATTATCGGGTAAAAGGTTCGATATCACAGACGGTAGATGTGACCTTTTATTTGAGGTTTGAAATACCTAACCATTAAAACATGACTTCACTGGTATATTCAAAATTACATACAAAAATAATATTAATAAATTTATTAAAGCATTATTTAAATAATAAAGTAATACCGATAGCTCAAACTAATCAATCAAGAATATGGAACATACATAAGCCAAACGATATGTGCATTTTTAAATTGTTCTTTTAAAATTAGTCTAAAAATTTCTGCAAAATTAAAAAAAGGAGTGCAAACTAAAAAACACTCAAAAAAAATTAAATTAAATTTAAATTCAAACACTTCTAAGACTGTATATTACACTGAAAATGTTGGTAAAAGATGAAGCCATTAATGACCCGCTTTAATACCATTTTCAAATTTTTAAATAAAAAACAAAAAACAAGTGAACACTAAACCGATAGATAAGTTAAGAAGTCAATAGAAACATATTTTAAAACGATGTATAGCAGTGTACGATGGTCAGTCTCTAGAACTGATTCAGTTCAATTGTTTGATACAAAATGTAACCTCTGCTGTATTGAACCTTATTACTGTCAGAATAAAGGCGAATTAGAAAACGTAAAATATCGCGAGAGGTGCATTTAAGCCGAGGCTCAAAGCGTCAATCCAGCCCTGGTGGGCGCATACAGACCCAAACCAACCGAAAATCAAATTTGCATTTGTTTACATTCGCCCTCCCCCAATCGCCATTCTCTATTCATCATTTCTCATTTGCCATCTGCAGAAACCGAGTCGATGGCCCCCAGCAGCAGTGCGGCGGCTGCGGCCACCAAACTCCTGGTGGAGATCACCACGGACGGGGTGCCCAAGCTCCACTGCCCGGTGTGCAACAAGGCACTGGTCTCCTTAGCCGGATATGTGAAGCACGTGAAGAAGCACCAGCCGCCGGGCGGCTTCGAGTGCCGCCACTGCGATGCTCGGTTTTGTCACGAGGAGGAGCTGACCCAGCACGCGAAGGATGAGCACGGAGTCACCGGCGCGGCAGCTAGCCAGGAACGTAAGCCCTTCGTTTGCGAGAACTGTGGTGCGGAGTACAAGTACCAGGAGGCATATCGCCGCCACTGCCGGACCAAGTGTGGCGAGGAGAAGCCATCGAAGGTGAGTAGAATCAAATCTGTGATTAAGTTAGGATCTTAATCTAATTTTCAACATTTGCCCATCAGGAGGAGTCGCGACCCATGGAGTGCAAGTGCTGCTTCACCCGCTTTTCCAGCAGCTCCAATCTAACCAAGCACCGACGCAGTCGTCCCGACACCTGTGGCCAGCCGGAGTACGATTCGCCCGGCAAATCAATGAAACGAAAGTCCTTCCGCAAGGGCAGAAAGAGGGACTCCGATGATGACACCACCACCGAAGAATCGGACAGCGACGATGACATTCCTCTGGCCAGCCGGCTGAAGACGAAACTGAAGCAGGAGAGCCAGAACTCGGACTCGGGCGACGAGTGTCCCGACTTCGAGCCAAACAACAGTGAGGACGATGCGGATGTATCCGGATTCCAGCTGCCTCCGCCGGCCATGGTCAAGGTTGAGGCCTTTGACGAAGAGGATTTCGAGTACCAGGATGCCAGCATGTATGTGAAGACCGAGAGCACCGATATCTTCAGCAACGAAAAGGATAAGCTCCTGGATGTGCTCCTCAACGAGGGTGATGGTCTAAAGCCCTTCGAGAGCTTGAAAGTGGAACAGGGCGCTGGTATACTGGACGAGATCGCGGCCGTGCCGCTGGTGGAGGTGGCCGAAGAAGATGTCCTGGCCCTCAGGGGTCATAACAAGGAGCACACTGGGGAAAAACGGAAACGAGGCAGACCGCCCAAGGAGAAGATACCTGTGGTCAAGAGAAAGTATCGCAAGAGAAACCAACCGAGATCGCCCTCGCCTGAAGATTCGTCAAGTACTCCAAAACGCGTAGCTAAGATCAGCAAAAAGGAGCTAAAGGAGCGCCTCAAGATGATCAACAAGATGGAGAAATCCTGGAAGTGTCCACACTGCGTCAAAATATACCACATCCGCAAGCCGTATGAAAAGCATTTGCGCGACGACCACAAGTTAAATGAGGCGGAGATGAAGGAGATCTTCAAGGACGTCGACGTGCATGCCAAGCTGGATGAGGAGGTCTTCAAGTGCCCCATATGCAGCAAGATCTATTTGGTGGAGAAGCGCTTGGTCACCCACATGAAGGTGCACGGCGAGGACGGCAAGCTGACCTTCAAGTGTCCCTGCTATTGCAACCTGTTCTTCGCCACCAAGGAACAGGCCACGGAGCACGCTCGGGCTCAGCACAAGGAGCTGCTCTACTGCGAGAAGTGCGACAAGTACATGACCGGCCACGACAGCCTCAAGAACCACGAGCGCAACTTCCACTCGAAGAAGGAGCCGCGCAGCCAACAGCGCAACCTCATCTGCGACAAGTGCGGCAAGAAGTTCACCGGACGCACCTCGCTCTCAGACCACGTGCGTTCCGACTGCGGCCGCCTTCCGCTCTACGGCTGCAGCGTCTGCGGCAAGCATTTGTCCACAGCTGGGTAAGATGCATATTTATAATTAACAATTCAATTATCGTTGGTTTTTTAAATGATTGCACTGGTCACAAACTATTATGTTTATTTTAAACTATATATACATTATATAGTGTAATGCTGTACAGCTAACATAACTTTTTATACGCTGTGATCAGCAATAAAAATTTTATTTTAACATTAACATAAACATTTGCCAACTATACTAATTAATTATCTTTTTCCCACAGAATTCTCAAGACGCACATGCTGCTTCACAAGGCAGACACACCGTACCAGTGCGACAAGTGCGGCAAGACATTCAAGGTGAAGGCACAATACAAGTCTCACTTGAAGACGCGGCACACGGACTACAAGCCGTACAAGTGCCACCTGTGCCCCAAGGAGTATCCGTACAGGGAGAGCCTGCTCACCCACATGACCGTGCACACGGGCATCAAGCGATTCCTGTGCAATAACTGCGGCAAGCGATTCACTTGCATCTCCAATTTGCAGGCCCATCGTAAGGTGCATGCCGACACCTGCGGCCAGCTGCCTTTGAATGCCAAGGCCACCCAGTACATGGGCGTGCAGCGTGGAAAACTCCTGATGGGTGCCAAGCCAGAGGCGGGCATGGAGTACGAGGAGACCAAGACTCTGATCGCCCAGGACGTCATCGACAGGGACATGCCCATGGCCCAGGAGCTGAACTTCCCATCCGACGGCTCTGCGCCACTGGCCACCGTGCCACTGAACTACGCCTCCACGCACCTGGTGCCACACATCGTACTGCAGACCATGCAAGCCGAGGCCCGGCGATTGGAGTAACTTCGGAACACATTCATATAGCGATCCCACTCAATAAAGATGCTTTTGTAAACGGATGCGTATTCTACTGTACAACAAATGGGATGATAACTACATAATATCTACTTAATGACTGGAATAATTAAAAAACATTGAAAGATAAATAAGCTACATAAAATTGATGTAGGAAAAGGTTTAGCGCCATACGGACCTGTCAAAAAACATTTAAGAAAAATAAAATTTCCTTACAAAAAACGTTTTAAAACTTGTTACATTTACTCCGTGGGTAAAAATACAAAATTGTATCTAAAAATGTTCTTATAGAATATACAAAAAACGGGTATCTTTTAAACGAGTAAGCACGTCTTTCCGACTAATTTTCTGCCAGCAAGAAAATTAAAGTTAAAATATGTACGTTTTGGGAAAGCCATATCTCTTTTTTAAAATATGACGCCGTTAACTATTTCATACGGTGTAAAATTAGTTATAGAGTTCTATCTCGAAATGTTGGAAAATAGATAGAAACCAGCAACTGGGGAAAAAATCAATGAAATTTGAGGAAGTGTTTATCATATTTTTTATATTGACTAAAAGTTTAAAAACTACATTTCTAGGTTTCCCGACTCGCTAGTTCAGTCTGAAATAGGGCTGCTGGTAGCGGCCAATAGGCATTCGATCCTTGGTCCTCAGCCGGCGCACTGCCTCGCGGATGAACTTGGGTTGCAAGGCACCGGATTCCCCTTGGGCCTCCATCACATCGAGAGCCTCCTCCACTACCTCGCCCACGAAAACCTTGGCAATGCCGGACATGGCGATCACGACGTTCTGGGACACGGAACAGCCGGTGATGGTCTGCATCAGACGCTTGACGGCCGCCTTCGGAAAGGCTGAGCGGCGATACATCTCGTAGCGATCGAGCTGCTCCTCCGTGAAGTTGGATACAAGAACCCTGAAGGAGATTAAGAGTTTCTTTTTAGAGGATTTGGAAAGGGATAGCCTTCTAACCCACTCACTGCATTCGTTCCCGCTCCTCCTCCTCCAGTTCCTTTTTGGTCTTGAGCTTCTTGTGTGCCGGCTCGCCGGAGTCCCCATCTCCGTCCGTGTTTTTGTTGTCCCCATCCACGTCTTTGCCATCGCGATCCGCATCGTTTCCCGGATCCGAGGTTTCGCTGTCCTTCCGCTCGCCGATGCCGGTTTGGAAGAACTTTAGATCGACATCATCGCCGTCGCTCAGTGAGTTGCTCTTCTGCTGCGTGGGAAACAGGATTTCGTCCATTTGAGTGGGATTTGGAGGCACCAGGAGCGACTATAAACAAAATCAACTAGGGCTGCAGTGGCACTTGTTTCGTGTTTCACAACACTGGTTCTGGCACGAACCCAATTGGATGTCACTAAATATCGCTTAACTGTCATGCATAATATCGGCATTTAAAAAGAAAAAAAAAAGAAATATCAAAAATAAAGACATATATGTAAATTCCTTTGCTCGTTTTATAACTCATCGTTTTTTAATTTTTCAAATACGTTTTTAAAGTCACGATTTAGCTTTTAGCACTCGACCTGCGAAACACTTTGAAAGAACTCAAAAAATATTTGTAAAATATTTTCTAAGGTGGCTTTTACGCTTTAATAAACAAACTGACAAATATAAAAACAAAAGTTTTGTTTTTCTCAAAAATTTGTATTTTAAAATTTTTCTAACTTAGAAACCATAGCAAACCTTAAAATGTCTCGGAGCTTTAACTCTTAAAATTTATCCCTGATACAAGTGGTAAATGTTCCATAAATATTTCTAGTCAGGCAGGCGGATTTATTTAAGCAAATTAATTAGCATAATATAAATATTAAGGACCGCCTCTAGAAGTGAATATCCCTTTGGTTTCGATAGTTCACCGCTCGTTGTCTAACACTGGCCAACCTCGTGTTTTTGTTCTTTTCTCCGCATCGCCATCGCCAGGCAAGAGTGCGCGCTAGATTTTCGTTTATTTAATCGTTTAACTCACTCACAACTCACTCCGAAATGTCCGCAACCGAGGCCCTGAATGTGGAGGCCGCCACGCCCGAGATCGGCGAGGAGGCCAAGAAACAAAAGAAGCCCAAGCCGAACAACAAGAAACTTCGCCAAGGTGAGTGACCTCATGCGAGCAATGCACTGCGGTAATTGCAACGGCACGAACCTCTCTGCCACAACCACCCACCCGCAAACCCACTTAACCACCCACTCACCCACAGAGGCGGCAGCCAAAAAGGCCACCGGAGAAGGCGGCGACGAAGAGCCGACCACAAACGGCGATGCCAAGCCGGCGACACCGGCTGCCGCTCAGCCGGCCAAGAAGAAGAACAACAAGGGCAAGAAGAACGGTCAGACAGATCCGCCGACCATACCCATTGCCAAACTCTACCCGGATGGAAACTTCCCCGAGGGTGAGATCGTGGAGCACCCCACGCCCAAGGATCTGTCGGACGACCGCACCGCCAAGGACCGCTTCACGTCAGAGGAGAAGCGCGCCCTTGATCGCATGAACACTGACATCTACCAGGAGCTGCGCCAGGCGGCCGAGGCCCATCGCCAGACGCGCCAGTACATGCAGCGCTATATTAAGCCCGGCATGACCATGATTCAGATCTGCGAGGAGCTGGAGAACACCGCCCGTCGTCTGATCGGCGAGAATGGCCTCGAGGCTGGACTAGCCTTCCCCACTGGCTGCTCTCTAAACCACTGTGCCGCCCACTACACGCCCAACGCCGGGGACACCACCGTGCTGCAGTACGACGATGTGTGCAAGATTGACTTTGGCACCCACATCAAGGGACGCATCATTGACTGCGCCTTCACGCTGACCTTTAACAACAAGTACGACAAGTTGTTGCAGGCCGTCAAGGAGGCCACTAACACGGGCATCAAGGAGGCGGGCATCGATGTTCGTCTATGCGACATTGGCGCTGCCATTCAGGAGGTTATGGAGTCGTACGAGATCGAGCTGGACGGCAAGACATATCCCATCAAGGCCATTCGCAACTTAAACGGACACTCTATCAGCCCGTACCGTAAGCCTTCAAAATAATATTTGCTATAATTATTCTGAGCAGTAGCACAAATACTTTGTATGTCCAGTTCTCAATCTTGAGCTAATAATATTTGTGCTATAGTTTAGACGGTAACTTGGGAGTTGGACTAACTTTCTAACTATATTTTCAGGCATTCATGCTGGAAAAACGGTGCCGATTGTAAAGGGCGGCGAGTCCACCCGTATGGAGGAAGATGAGTTCTACGCCATCGAGACTTTCGGCTCGACCGGTCGCGGCTTGGTTCATGACGACATGGACTGCTCTCACTACATGAAGAACTTTGAGCTGCCATTTGTGCCATTGCGCCTGCAGTCATCCAAGCAGCTACTTGGCACCATCAACAAAAACTTTGGCACCCTGGCCTTCTGCAAGCGCTGGCTGGACCGCGCCGGTGCCACTAAGTATCAGATGGCTCTTAAGGATCTGTGCGACAAGGGCATTGTGGAGGCCTACCCGCCGCTGTGCGACATCAAGGGCTGCTACACGGCTCAATACGAACACACCATCATGCTGCGACCCACTTGCAAAGAAATCGTATCCCGAGGCGACGACTACTAGTGGGATGTGGACCTGGAGAGGGTCGATAATCGGCGTTGTATTGCTTGCATTATATACGGTTTTTGATATAAGTTCTTCTATTGTTGATCATTTGTGAGCGTACACGGACCGAATTATATATACAGTGTATTATGCTCAGAATATATGAGAGGTGAGATTATTTTAGAGGGTTTTCTTCTCGTGGCAGGCTCTTAACACCCTTTGCCTTAAGCTCATGCCAGTAAAGGGAGCTAGTGTAGTTGGGATTCATTTGCTTTGTATCTGAAAGTGATCTGTAAATGTAGACAAATCCTTTTCCCGTAAGATAGTATAGAATCTCGATGTAACTGACTATGCTGAAGCCGTACATAAGCGATAGGATGCCTCCAAAACGATCTGAGGGGTTACAAGTTTGAAAATATAAGAGAATTTTTCCAATTTACAAAGTAACTTACTCAGCAGAACAACCCAAGTGCTTACCAGTTGGGACCTGGTGGCCTGTGCAAAACGCAGTTTAAAGAAAAGCTTTATTATGGACAATGGGCGTTCGTTGGTCAATCCCTTTCTGAAATTAAAATAATTATATTTATATTTTTTAATCAAGAAAACACTGCACATTACTTACAGTATACCGTTTAGGTATCCAGTTCCATTATAACTGCTTCTTAAGGGAGCCCAATTGGTAGCGATGTCCAAGGTAACCCCGTTACAACTCGGCAGGCACTGCTCGCATTGCCGTTGGGCCAACTTCTCATCCTCATTCTGCAGGTGGGCGAACTCGCTGTGGCCATACCAAATCCTTTTCCACTTCATCAGGCAGGGAAGATCGGGTAGCATGCAATAGGGGAGACCCAAAGGACTGGCCGCCATGGGAGGTGAGACACAGCCGCAATGATCGAACATGCTTCTCATGCGGCATACCAGAAGGCACTCGTCCAGGGAGTAGTACGATCTATAAAAAGCAGCTAGTCATTATATTTGGGGTAAGTGATTTATGACTTACTGGTTTAACAATCGACTTCCTTCGTCAGGATAGTAACAACGTCGTATAAGCGGTGGAACTCCGCGGACCTGATCGCTTGAGCTAAAAAACATAGGCTGGATTGGAATTTCTACTATGGTGCTATAATCCACAAGCAATTCTCCCAAAGTAGTAGATTGAATGGTGGCATAGTCCTCTTGGGGAAAAATTATGAGCTTACGATACGAAAGGAAGGTCAAAAGTTAGTTTTACAAGAGTAAGAAAAAATGGTTTTTATAGTATTGTCACTGTGGACGGGGGTCCATGTAGTGACGAATTGCACCGGTAGTGTCCGCGAGGAAACTACTATAAATAGCCCAAAAATTTATAATCTGCTACGATTGTCCGATAGAAACAAGTTACACACCGATCGAAAGGTTTTTAATTTTTCGGTTCTAAGACCTTTAATAAGTCGATTGGATCAGGAGAAACTACGTTGACGGTAG